AATTAAGCTTTCCTTAATCCTATCAATAGAAGAAAGACAACTGCTTTAAATAAAAAAACAGGGAAGCATCAAGCTATAGCAAGGAACAAAATACATAAGGAAATAAATTTAAATAATTTTCATAAGTGTCGAGGTTACCAATTCAAGGAAGTGGACCAAGTCTCTACCCTCCTTAACATATAGATACAGAGAGAGAGCGAGAGCGCGAGAGAGAGAGAGAGAGAGAGACTCCCATAAACAAATATCAATATTCTGATAGGAGATGAAAATTAAGCCTCAATATAGGCATGCCAACTTCTTAAAGATAGTAAACATTTTAAATTTAGTTATACTTACTAAAATCATCTTTGAAAGTTATAAAATATCTGTAGTTTGCATATGTTTTATTGGAGCGATACCCCTCACATCATTATGAATCAATTCAAAATGACACAAATAGCATGTGATGGAAAAGAAAGAGTTGCATTTTTTTAATTTATACATTTAGAGGTCAATGAAATATGAGGAACAAGCTGATCTTTACTTTCTAATAAATTGGAGTATGTTTTTATCAAGTGAGATAAGATAATGGAGTTTCTATGGCCTAATCTTTTGTGCCAAAGATCATTGTTTTTTATTTATTGTAATACATTATAATGAAACCACCATTTAAATGGAAGGATGCAAGAGAATTAGTTGTCCAACTTTAGGCCCCTTTATGAGTATTTTCTTAGTCTTCTGATCCTGGATAGTGCAACCATCCCAGAAAAAGTAAATATCATAATTATTATCAGTTAAATTTTCTATTGAGTGAGATAATTTGAAAGCATAGAAGATATGAGGACAACTTTCATTGTATGGTTGCTATCTTAATAGCGATAGGTAAATTGATCGTTTAAAAATTGAATAGATCATGATCCATAATATGTTCAAATGTTGTGAAGGAGACGTGAAATATCAATCGTACTAAAATCCACAGATCAAGATGAAGAGAATAGTTATCCATACGTAGAATTCATATAGCAGATATGACTATAATTATTTTTGGTTGCACTGTCTAAGGAGTAAGCTCAAATTTATCAGTGGTTGCTAAGCCAACAGTCTCATTATTAAGTTTTGCTTGTGTTTAATTTGTGTGTCAATTTCATTAATATTGTTGAGTATTTTTACTCATATGCAACTTTTATTATAATGACAAATTTTCCTTGCATGGTTAGCGATAATATGCTTCTAACCCTCATAAGCATAGCATTATATCTATTGTATGTCTCTTCCTTTATTCCTCCCGGCGTGTGCAATCACATTCTCATGTGCGTGATGTTGAAATATGATTTGTCTTGCAAGTCATTTCTCCTCACCATGTAGTTCTCTAAAGCACTTCTCCAACGATGAAGAAGGGTCACGATTTATCAATTTTGAATGAATTGCCTTAAATATAGGACAAAGCTTCATTAAAAATTAATCTCTTTTGTTTTATTCGTGAACCTCTTGAATATCCAAAAGCAATTCAAAAGACATTTTTCTATAAAGTATATTCGCTAATTCAATCCATAAATTGGCTAGACCAAAATAGTAATCCTTTTGAGAGGCCTTTTTAGATGTAATTAGCAATCTCATATTCCAATTGTAAATACTGGCTACATTATTGTATTCACTTTTTAAAATTGCGCAATTAGAGGTGCTTCTTTGTGTTATTGTAGATTTTTTTTTTTGCATTGTGGTGTAAACCTCGCTTGGATCACGCGAGGCGCACTCCTCAACATCAACGAGACATGCAATAAGACGTGTTTTGCCTTAGATTTGATGAGACATCCTTCTTGTATTGATTTAGGTATTTAAATGCATATTTCTTTGAACCCACAAGCTCCTGTATCCCACAAGTCATCTATTACTGTTTTGTTCAAACTGACATGCTTACATCCGAGCTTGCACCAGATGATGCCACTGCGCGATCCTCTTGCAGCCGTCGCCACCGCAGCCACCTGCTGTTGTTTTGTCAAATCACACACTTTGGTCTCTCACAAGCTTTCCGTTACTCAGTTCTGAAGGAGTTACGAGGATAATAAAGAAATGGAATTGCAAATGTTTAGTGCATTAGGTCTTCATAATTATAATTATATTTATATGTAATTAAATTGGATTACCTTTAAATCTATCACCACGATTCCATCTACCAATGCATATCCTAAAATGGGAGACTATTTTTTTAGTATTGTGAAATATTCAAAATGAATATTATATTAAAAGTTATTTTATAAAATTAACGAATGAGTTTTATAGAGGCTTGTACTAATTTTTTTATATACATCCATATATCAATGTGATCATAACGAAATACATAATTAAAGAAAGAGTTACTTAGTTATCTTTATGAAAGCACAATCATATTAATATCATGTTATCATGTTAATGCATTCCTTTCATATACTTATAATATATGTTATTGCCCATTTATTTGACTGCATAATTTTTTAATCGTGAGGCTTACGCCTAAGAGAGTCTCAAGGCTTACATCTCGCCTCACGAATAAAAAATACCTCAATAATCAATTGCTCAAATTTAAACAGTGTTTGTAATTATAAACTCGTAAATTTTTTTTCATAAATTTGGTGTCTTTTATGGTCTCATTTTGAGGACAATCGCTCGAGCAACAAACTTTAAGTTCTATGTAATAAATCTTGCATTTTTATTTTGTTATTAAACTAATTTTGGTTATGTACACACTATAAGATCACTCTTATTAATGTCCTCCCAAAACATTTTCCCATAAAAAAATAATTGAAATCTAAATTTGAGTAGAGTAATGTTTATTTGTGAGTTTGACGCTAAAAATATTTAAATTGTTTGTTGATGTATTCACTATAATGACAATAATGAACCAAGTGCGGATAAATTCACGATTTATGTGGGGGTTGGCGAGAAACAATGATAAGTGAATCATCAATGTGATTCACAAAATCATAGTTGTGTGGAAATTTTCTAAATGCGAAAATGAATTGAACTATTGTTTTTAAAGCTCAAAAGTTTTTCCGGACTTGGAAGGTCTTGAGAATCATAATCGAGTTTTATGAGAACAAGAGATTCTTCACTATGCATGTAAAATAATGCAAAATATTCTAAAGCAAAATGGATGGCTCAACTCAGCAGAGGATGCATACTAAGTTGCTCAACCCACTATCGCACGTCAGCATATAAAGCGAAAGACGAAATCCACATATGAGATCTTGATCCTCTTGGAAGTGTGATGCCTGGGGGGAGGCCGGCCGTTTTTTTTTTTTTTTTTTTTTTGTAGAAACTTGTCGAGCAGTTGTATTGTTGAATTGATAGATTAGTGCAAAATATTTATCCTTTCAAAATTTCTTTTTTTCATAATAAACAAATGACTTTTCACCATGCAAGTATAGATACCTTGCAAAACAAGGGATCCTTGCAAGATCTTTAGTTAAACAAAAGAAGATGGATCTTTATTTCGAGCGAAACACAAGACAACTATTCTCAAAGAAATTTTCAAGAGATAACCGTAGTGCTTTGACTTTGAGACAAGGCAGAAGACATTTTAGTTCCCCGTATCTGATATTGTGTTAAATATTGAGAAATAAGATTTGATATCTGAATTGCTTCAGTTTTATTCAACATTTGACCTACCTTTATTCAACCCTAGAAGAGTTTTTTGATAGGAAGTATAAAAAATCTGTATCAATACAATTAGTTATAAAAAATTATTGCGCATAGATTGGTGAGGATGGACCCATAAGTACATGGCTTGATGAAGTGGCTAACCATAATTTATGGATGGTAATTGATGTTAATTATGTACAATTTGTACTTATTATATTGATATGTTGTAGTACGTGCAAGATCAATGTTTCCTGTAATGTTCATCCTGGGTTTTAATTTGAAATGGCTGTTTTATTTTTGTCTCCTATTTTGGATTAGTGGAATTGCTTTTTTCGAAGGGTTTTGTATTTCGAGAGGGCGGAGGAATTGGAGATAATTTAATCTAACTTCTTCTCTTGTTTTTATGGACTGGTATCTATAACGACCGTCAGGTTCTGCTTCTAACTTTAGGATTTCTGCCCGTTATTCTCTGACAGGGAATGAAGGAGTGGATCAAGCCAGTTGATGATCTGAGATCTTTTTTTAGCTAAAAATTTAAGCCAATTTTTTATAGCTTAGATTAAAGCTAAACTTGTTTTACATGTAACATTTTCAATACTCTAAAAAAATATTTATTTAGAAGGAAAAAAGCTGACAACTATACTTACCTTGTAAAGTTAATTTTGTAATTTTTGGACATTCGAGCATAATCACAAAACTGTGGTCATATGCGTTTTTATTGTAAGGAAATACTCCTCACAATGTTTGTTACGTGGATCGGGTAGCTTTTCTTATTTGATCTAATTTGCGTTTTGCATGATTGTGGTCCTTGATGGAATTGGCAAGATCTACAAGCACACACCCACCTAGCAATTTGTCAGGAACTTAATTTTAGAGAGTGCTATTGCTTAGAATTTTGTGTTGATTTTTCCTCTAAAAGGTGTATGACGTATTTTTCAACTCTGTTGCTAGCATGTACTGAGCATCCATGCACTGTTTCCTTTCTGTTGCTTGCAAGACAATTTATGTTTTAAGCAATTTTCCCCGCTTGGTGCCGTATACAGATGCTTAAGGTACTTGCATAATTGACAAATTCAGGAAAGTGATACGAGTTAATCTGTGGAATATTCGCCATATAGTTCCAACATTGTGCATTTATAAGTTTTTTTCTTGCTTTTTTTTTATTTCGGTTACCAATGGCTGAAACATGACTTCATGGATGAAGGGGAGATATTCCAGCTTTTTCTGCATCTCAAGCCATTATATGTGAAGTGTGACACGATTCTAAATGGTAGAAGGTTGCTGCATGGATCTTGAATGTTTTTTATTAGTCTTAGTAGAAGGCTCAACTCTAGTATATATTTATCTATAACATTTATTATACGTACTTTTGGAAAGTTAAAGCCATTCATATGTTTATGCAGTGCAAAATTTTCAGTAAAACTGGTGCTTCTAGATGAGGCGGATGCCATGACTAAGGATGCACAGTTTGCATTACGTAGAGGTCTGTCTGCTAAATTATTTTGTTCTTTTAGTGTGTTTTTTATGCCCACTGCTTATCTACTGTTGCTTTTCTGCAGTGATTGAAAAACACACAAAGAGCACCAGGTTTGCACTTATCTGCAACCATGTCAACAAAATCATTCCAGCATTACAGTCAAGATGCACCCGATTTCGGTTTGCTCCGCTTGATGCTGCACATATTAAAGAACGACTTCAATATGTAGTTACTGCGGAAGGGTATGGTCCTTCACCTTCTTTGTCCTAGGTATGGAAACTTATAATGGAATATACTGTGTGGCTATCTTGTTCCATGTTTTATATTTGTTAGTCGATATTACAGTTGATTCAGCAATCTAACAATCTCAGTATAATTTTGTAGAACTCATGATACAAATTTGTTAAAATAGTTGTGGTTGGACTTATTTTATTGTTTCATGTATTTAGCCCAATAAAATTAATTGCTTTTGGTTGGCTTAGCCTAGCTAGTATCTAAATTCTTGGTCATCGTATGTATTGGTTTCAGACAATTGGGTAAATGCATTGCCTTTTTCATTTTATGTTGGCAAAGTAAATTTAAAAGCTTACTAATTTTTATTTTTAGTTCAAGTTAATTTAAAATTGAGATATGGCCATCATCATTTCTTCTTTGTAATTTAGCTGCCATCTTGTTGATAGAATTTTAGGCTCATGTGGGATGTTTATGAGATTAGATTGATGAAACTTGTGTATCTGTGATTGTGAAAGGTGAAATTTAAGTTATTTGCAAGAACTATATACTTTCCACATGAAATTTATATCTAGCACTAGCTAAAGTGTTTGCGCCTTACTCTAATTTTATTTTGGAAAAAAGTAGAGGCTATAGAGCAAATGTCTGTGGTATACCACTTGCTGAACGGATGCCTTCAAATTTCAGTAGCCAGCATTGCTTCTTGATGTCTTTTTGGTTTGTACTATCAGAAATATTTGGATTTTGTCCCTGTGGTTTCATCTTTATAGTGTCTTCAAAGGCTTTTACTGGTTGACAAACTTTACCTAAAATTGAAATTGTAAAATTACCTTTTTTGCTTTCTTTGTTAAGGCTTGATGTCGATGAAAGCGGCTTTGCAGCTTTGGTGCGATTGAGCAATGGTGACATGAGAAAAGCTCTGAACATATTGCAGGTAATCTTCATTTTTCTATGCAGAAGATCCGTTAAGGTTATTAAAATCATAATTTATGTGTATCATTCATGGAGAACCCCCTTTCCTTGATCATGCTGTTAAATTTTGTCATACTTTAGCACCTTTTTACCCTGTAATTCTCTGAACTCATAAAATATGTTAAATACCTTATCAAAGTTAGTGTTGTATCGATGCTTTTACCTGCAAAAGCAGCAGAATTTATAGAATGCTTTGGGAATTTTGTTTATGTTAGTAAAATTTTGCTTTACAATTTGGTGATTCTTTGTAGCCATTTAATTTCTGATTGACATGCTCTACATCTTTTGGGATGCTTGGTTTGAGAGATTGAGAAGCTTACTCATCTGATTGGTGAAGCTTGAGGTGTGTTACTGCAATTGGAAATATACGAAACTATACAACATCTCTTGTTTTTCTTGGGGTTATACTTTCATTGTACCTTCATTTTCCCCAAATTATATCGTTATTAAAAAGATTAAATAACTTTGCGAGTAACATTTTTAATGTTACCCTCAACATTCTCTTTTTTAGTTTTATAGTATAATGGTTAGTTTGGTCATGGTCGTCACTGCAGTTATGTTTTAGTTGGTCTTTTTATCTCCAACAAATCAAATTTCTGGTATTTTCAAATTTAGGTCTACGATGTTTTATGTTTAAGGGCTCACTAATATAAATTTAGAAGATGTCTGAAGGTACACTTAAATACATATTATCTCATCTTTTAATTGAAGCAAAAAATTAGTTTTTATTGATGCAAAATTAAGAAAGAAACAATTCCTTCTTTTAGTAATAATTTGAAGTCATGAAAATTTATAATTTCATAAAAAATATAATAACAAATATGAAATTCTACAGTAATTAATATACAGATCATAAAACATAAATTAATATAGTTAGGATAAAATTTTAATCACAAAAATCATCAAATAATTTAGAAGAAATAATATTGATAGAAATTTCTGATTGGGAAACCTACACATGTTGAACCATCCCCTAGATGTTGTCATCAATACTTGCAAGCATGGAAGAATCTACATCCAACAACACTAAAATTAAGAGGGCACGTGAATTTTATCCGATTATCAACCATTCAATGAGTTTTACCTGCCTCAAGGGTTTTATTTATAACCCAAAAGATCCAAAAATTAGTTTATTCTCAGAATCTATTAAGATATATTAAAAAGCTGCACGTTTCTATGTAAACGTGCCCACATCTTAACAAATAGTAATTTTATTCTAAAAAATCAACTTCTAAACCAAAGAAGAACTTTCAACTCTATAGGCAATAGCTAGATTTTGCTGTAGTAATCAGGTCGAGCACAAAATGAAATTAGTGGTAGGGAATACATTTTTAGGCAAAGAGAACCACCTAGGAGTGGAAACCAACCAGCAACACCTATCAAAAAGAAAGAAAAAAAAAAAAGAAAAAGAAAAGCCCATATAATTAGTAACGCTGGAATTCAATTAGGTCCCTCACATGAAGAACCACAAGACACAAACATGCTTTTGAGCTACAGTGCAAATTCAGGAAGGGAAAACAAATAGACAGCCATAGTAACATTAACAACATACTCTAACTAAAAGTATGGCTGACAGCATGGAATTAAAAGTCCTGACCAGGAAATTTGACAAGAGTAAAAGGAATTATCAAATTCGTAGAAGTAATGCTAATATAAGTGAATAAATCTCATTCTTATAGGCACCAACATCATGGCCATATTCCAATTAAATTCAAAACTAAAAAGCTGAAAAATAAAACATAAAAACAGCTAAAATAATATTGTTTGACCCAATTTGCATATTCAATGATCCCTACAATCACCAAATGACATATGTTGCTCTTTAAATTTATGCTTTATATCAGATCATGTTAATTTAGTTTCAATTGCAACATCTTGCCAAAATGATTAAGAATGCTCTCTAGCTTTGATTTGATACCTTTATGTCTTTCATGATCAAATATATAGTAATATTCAAAGAGGTATTCCAACATTATTCTTCCAATTTGAAAATTTCTCATGTAATGCTTTCCATCAAATATTGGAATGTAATTTTAATACCCACCATAGTGACAGTGTGTTCATTTAGAATCATAACTTAATCGATCCTATTTAAAATGTATTGTTTATTAATTTTTTTGAATGACCCAATTAATATGTTATACTTTAATTGACATGATGTATAATCATATGCCTTAATGTTAGTTTAATATAGGATATATTAAGTCTTGGGTTCATTGATGTTAACTTAAGATGAAATGTGCAAAAATATAAAAAATATCCCAATTCACAAGTTCCCGCCATTAATTTAAGCAAAGTTAGTCTTTTTTAGTACCAAATCATAAAATAAAATTCATTCATTTTGAACAATAATTTAAATTCTACAATTTGAAATTTCACACACAAAAAAAATTCTTAAAACAAATATTGAAGTTCTATAGTATTAAAACTTATACCATAAAACAAAGATTGTTAGTGATGAACTTGGTAAAATTTCAATCACTAAACGACTTAAAGAGATAAGAAGGATAGAAATACCAATTTGAAGATCTAGGCTTTACGCTATTACAAGGGTAAATATACCCAAGACGTTGTCAAGATTTGCTATCACTCAAAGGGTTCATATCAAACAACATAGAATAATCAAAGTGAAACATAAATTTTATTTAATCATTCCATGAATTTTATAGGACTTGGAGGTTCTATTTATCACCTGATAAGATAAAAAATTAGTAACTTTTCGGAACTCCTTAACATAGAAGTTGGAGGGAAGCATATTATTAGAAGAGCTAACTAGGGAAATCCACAAGAGCAAAATTGAAGCATTTGCAACAGTAAATAAACCATCAATAGTAACACAAATATTATAGTACACATTCCTTTCTATTTGCATGAAACATTATAACTGCACTAGTTTTGTATATTCAATGAATAATAACTATAAAATTGGCAGGATTAGTTAATGCATTTCAAATATAAATTGTTCTTGATTCTTGTGTTTCAAAAATTTTAAATGAATTTCATTTAGCTAACTTTAAAAGTGATGGGGATGTTCAAAGTGACGGTGATATAGAATTCAAGTTGGTTGGTTGAAGTGAAGGGATGCTTCGGGCCTATTGTGTGGTAGAAAAGTATCGTTTAGACTGAAAGGAAAATTTTATAAGAGGGTGATGAGACCTGCTATGCTTTATGGCGTTGAATGTTGTCCTTTAAACGAGAAGCATAAACCTAAGTTAAGTGTTGCAGTTAAGTGTAGTTAAGTGTTGCCGATATGAGAATGCTTAGGTGGATGAGTGGCTTTACACTTAGAGACAAAATGTGAAATGAATATATCCATGATAGGGTCTGTGTAGCTCCAATGGCGGACAAAATTAAAGAGAGAACCATCTTAGATGGTTTGGTTACATTAAACATCGACCATCTGATGATCTGATTAGGAGAGTAGATGTTTTAGATTCAACTTATATTAAGAAAGTCAGAGGTAGACCTAGAAAGACTTGGACATATTGTATAAAAAATGTGATCTTAATTTATTAGAATTAAATGAAAATATGACACTCGATAGGACGCAATGGAAAAAAAAAAAGATTCATGTAGCCGACCCCCCTTAGTGGGATAAAAGCTTGTTGTTGTTGTTGTTGTTGTAAAAGTTTCTGATACTTAAACAGTGAATGTGGACACCTACTTCAGTTACCTTCTCTCCTTAAGAATAAAAGCACCCACGTGATAAGTAATTTTGATTGCCACTGTTCAATATAGCCATTATGGAGGGGAATAAATTTATGCTAATTGTTAACTTCACCCTACAGAAAGGTTACATTTTTATTTAGAACATGAAAATAACTTGTGCAATAGTTGAGTTTCTCCAAACTGCCCCCTAATTCCAAAATCTAGGCATGAGGGCCAGTTTCTGTTTCCTCTTCTTGCTCTTTCATGAAGAACTCATGCTATCAAATAATTGCTAGCTTTCTCAATTCTTACCATAGTGAATGTTCCTTTTCATTCCCCCTAGGCTGAATCTGGTTTACACTATGCATTTTGCTGCAATTTACTTTATTATTTAGAAAAGTGTCAAATTTTTTCCTTGACTCTTTAGAGGGGGTCATTTTAGTCCTGGAGTCTATAAAATTGCCAATTTAATCTCCACACTCTTTTAATATAGATTGAAATTGTCTCTTATTAGGATGATTTTATCCCACATTAAAAAAATCTGGGGAATAATTCAGCATGTTTATCAGGGACTAAAATGGCCCCATGTAAATAGTCAGGGGACTATTTTGGCACTCTACTTTATTATTCTATGAGATTTATTTTGAATATGATAAGGTATGGCATTTGTCTGTTTTAATATGCAGTCGACCCAAATGGCTTTTCAACATGTAACAGAAGAAGCTGTGTACCTTTGTACTGGAAATCCAATGCCCAAAGATATAGAGCAGATTGCTTATTGGCTCTTGAATGAACCATTCATAGCCAGCTTTAGATGTATGCTACCACACGGCTTTCATTCATTTTTGCTTTGTAATTTGATTTGTATGTCGTTGTATTGTTTATAATTATTAACAACCACTCAATTTTTACTCCAGTTATATCTGATATCAAAATGAGGAAAGGACTTGCTTTGGTAGACATTATTAGAGAGGTTACTTTGTAAGTAGAAGTTTTATAAAGCATCTTTATTTAGTATTGGTTTCTCTAATTTTTGTTAGTTGTTACTTTTTGTACTTGGATAAATTTTCTTTTTGCAGATTTGTTTTCAAGATCCAAATGCCGTCGGATATTCGAATCAAGCTTATTAATGACTTGGCTGATATTGAGTATGTGCCTCTTTTCCATTCTTTATGAGTATGAAATTAGTTTCTTTTTCTTACATTTCAGTCCCTTTCTGATGTTGTAAGCCAAGAATCAGTTTGGTGTTGGGAGTTTTCCTTTAATGCCACTGTGAAGGCTTTATACTGATGTTTCAATTTGTGGTTATCTTGATTTAGCTTTTCATTAAAATCAGTGGTTAAACTTGCTTTGCTGATTTTATGATAACAGTGGATTCATTGTGGATGAAATAACATTTAGATTTGTAAAGTGAAGGCAATTATGGGATTAACTGTAAAGGTTGCTTATATAATGTCTGTCCTGATTTCAACTTCCATTTCAATATACCAAGAAAGGTAGCAGCTAGTAGGAGGAGGGCAAATGGAAGCTACTTGGGATTTTTTTTTTTTTTAATTATAGGGAAATCTGTGGCACTTCTGCGAAGGATTTTGGATGGAGGGATGTGGAATATAGAAGTAGAATAATTGATGAATTACTAGTTTAATTGTTTTTTTTTAATTGAAACACAAAAGAAGCTTTTTCTTTCCCTTCTAGTTACTACTAAACAGAGAGTTAGAGCTTTTTAATATTTTGTAATCAACTGAGTCTATACTGAAGCTTAATCTGCCTAACAAGTGCCATGGAATGAGTAGCTTAGACCTTGTCTGGGATAATTTTTGTTTTTGCATTTATTTTAAAAACATAGTTGTTTAGTACATTTTTTTGTATGTTTTTATTTTTTATTTTTTAAAACAAGTAACTCAAAACAAAGCTTCTAAAAATTATTTTGAATGTTTTAAAAAACAACTAAATATGTTATATTATACCAAACATATTTTGTTTTAAATCAAAATATAAAAAAAATAAAATAAAATCAAAAGTGATCCCAAAAGGCTGTGCTAAAGCTTTCCCTCAATATTTTGAGGGAGGGTGTGGGCTATAAAATATGCAAATGAAAAAAAAAAATTGTGAGGATATTCTAAAAAAAATTTGGTTAGGATGGGCTTTAAAATTCTTATACTTTGTTATAGCAATAAATGAATAATCAATCGATTGTTATGTTGCACTCATCTCAAAGTAAATTTAATGGTTTTAAACGTCATAACTAAAATTCAGTTAGTATACCCTTATCTAATATTCTTCAATGAAAATGAATTGAAGAAATTGTTTCTTCAATGTAAAAAAGCAAAGCACACTCCTCTTGCTTCCGGATATAAATGTGGATGAAGTATTGATGGTTTTTTTTTTTTAATTCCGTTTAGTAACTATTAAACCACACTTGAGCGTGTTGCACTGTGAAATATTGATCTTTCCTATGAAAACCCTCAACTAGAATGAAGCCGAACTCTTAAACATCGAGGCCTCTTTTAGTGCGACGATTGAAATGTTATTAGAAATTCTAAAATTGTGTACTCTTGCTGTAGCACTTCTGAGGTAGGTGACTTTTTGGGAATTTATACCAATGGGACAAAATCATGAGGCCATTAGGCCAAAGCGAACAATTTATCGATGGATGAGAGTTTGAGATGTCAAATGGTATGTGAGCATTAGACAAGCTTGAAGATGAGAACTAAGTGTCATACAAAACAAGTTATTACACCATGGGAGCTGCCTCTTGAATCCTAAATAGAGTAAAGTGCTAAATGGTGGGAGCCACGTCTAGAATCTATCTACTAGGATGATTCTGAGATGAGAAAACTAAAGAGGTTGCCAGTTATTTAAAGTGGGAAGATTATGACACCCTTCAAGTTGGATGAAGCTTAACATTTTAATTTTGGGAGGCATTTTGGTGTAATGGTTAGAGTTTCATTAAAAACTCTTAAATGTAAACGTGCCCGTGCGGGAGCACTCCTGAAATGGGTGAGCAATTGGGAAGTTATACCAGTGGGATAAAATTGTGAGCCCATTAGACCAAAGCGGATGATATCTTGATGGATGAGAGTTTGGGTTTTACACTTCCAATCATAGTTATATTCATAAAACAAATAATATTTTGCGGTTCAAAGAAACATGTTTTTTAAGAAAATCAACATCATATTTCTATTTAGACTGCCATAATTTTTGTGATTCTGCAGGTATAGGCTGAGCTTTGGATGCAACGACAAACTACAACTAGGGGCACTTATCTCTACCTTCACAGACGCACGTTGTGCCATTGTTGCTGCAGCCAACTGATCTCTGCATCATCTAATGTGTCTACTTCTGACTTTTTTTCTTCTTATTTTTGTCCCTTCTAGCATAGGAAGCCATAACTCTTTTTCTAATTGTGAAATTGTTTTATCTTATTAAAATATTATGTGAATGCATTGCGTGCTTAATTAGGTACAAATTTTCCTTTTAATATTATGTTAGTTTGTGGTTTGGTCATTTGGAAATCTTCATCAAGGAACAATTCGTGGAATGTGCCTAATTAATTCTTGGTTAGTGCTTCAGGTGCTGTCCAAAACCATGTAGATTACTTATTAGCTATCATTCTTTCAGCGAAGTGGCAAATATGTATTTCAGTCAGCTTTTGACAAAAGGTTTTATAGCTTCAGAGCCATCTTTAAGGCTAAAATATTGGGATTATAAGTTGTAATTTTGCAAAACTGACATTCATTCTAGTAAATTGAATTAGTTAAATCAGTTAGCATTTTTTTTCTTTTTTTTTGTGATATGCAAATTTTAAACAATTTTAAATTTTGTTTCACTGTTCAGGACATATTGGTATTTTTTAATCCTTTTTTAATTATATTTTTAGATTGCTAAAACAAATAGGAATTAGAAGACTTTCAATTAGGGGTGTACGTTACAAAATTCAAATTGTGAGCCAGCTTAGTAACTGTAATGAGTCAAATTTAAACTAGTTTTTCACTCCACTTACTGGCTTCTAACTCATTCAAAATATTTGTTATTATATGGTATAACTATGTCATGGCCCGGCGTAAGAACTTGAGAGATAATCAAGACGTGAACGGACGGTTAGATGTTGACAGGAAACCTGTTTAAACAGTAACATTAGTTCATAATAACATTCGAGTAGATAAAAGTCATTAATCCATAATACGTAAGTCAATATATTCTAACAAAATACACAAGATCATCCACTACTTCTGTAAAATAAGTGATAAGTGATGAAAGAACAGTTAAATAATATTCTAAATTTAAAGTAACTTAGTAAATAATTATCATTTTATTATGCATTAAATTTTTCTACGGATGCCTAACATGTCAACTCAAAGGAATATGCTGATCAATTTATAAAATAAACTTTATTTTATTAATTTATAATTTTTTTATTAAATCACTTTATTATGCACTGATTAATTATTATTATCATTTTTTTTAAGCAAGTCAACTCAGCAGTATCATAAAAAAAAAAAATTCATTTTATATAATAAAGTTACAATTAATTTCATATTATATTATAGATAATTATTTTCATTTTGTATCATAAATGCACAACTATTTTCATTTCCTTTTCTTTTAAAGTGCAAGAGTACAATAATCTAATTACTATCGTAAGGGGTGTATGCTGATGGACTTAATCATATATAGATTTGTTATACTTAATTTCTTTCAACTATTGAATTCATTTATTTTACTTTTTTGTTAAAATGCAAAAAGGTAAAACAATTTGAATCATAAAACAATAATTTCATTTTATATTTTTATTTTTTTTCAATCATAAAAATATTCTTAACTAGTGTCATAAATGAGTGAATGTTGATAGACTTAGTCATATATATTTGTTTTAACTTATAGTTAATAGTCATATATATTTGTTTTAACTTATAGTTAATTTCTTTCAAGTGTTAAATTCATTTATTTTATTTTTTTTGTAAAATGCAAAAAGTTGAAACAATGTAAAGCATAAAACAATCATTTCATTTTCTTAGTTATTTCATTTCAATCATAAAAATATTTTTAAATCTTTATGAAATAAATATATTTAAATAAATAGAAATGAATTTAATGTATATAAAATAATAATTACTCACATTAATTTTTAGAAGATTTTTTTTTGTAAGTTTATTTCTTGAATTTATTTCTTTTGGCTATCAGTTATATCCACTAAATATGTATATATAAGGATATTATTTCTAAGTCGCCACGGGAGCTCGCCGGAGAAGGCGACAGGCGGCTTGTGAGGAAGAAGTGGAGTTTCTAACACGTGAGGTTTCAGCAGGTTTAGGGAAGCCTTCGATCATTGTGGATAGAGATGAGAGCCTCGACAAATTTGATCCTATTTAACTAAGAAAGCTTCGGCCCAGCTTTAAGGAGAGTGATGGCACTGAAACTGCTGGAAATGCGTCTAGTTTAAGTGATGGTGCTGTGGCCTTTGTATTAGTGGAGCAAGGCCAGAGAGCTAGGATTGCAAGTCATAGCGAGAATCAGAGGGTATGCACCAGAACTTTTTACAACAGCACCAGCACTTGCAATACCGAAAGCTATTTCTAATGTTGGTTTGGAGGCTTCTCAGATTGATTTTTATGAAATAAATGAAGCTTTTTCTGTTGTTGCTGTGGTCAATCAGAAGCTCCTTAAACTTCCTTCTGAAAAAAATAGATGTCCATGGTGAGGAACACATTTACGAACGTGTCATACGCACGCAGAATTGGGTGTGTATGACGGTTATTGGGGGGTATTTGAGAGTTATTTCGTTGTTATTGGGTTTAATACCCGCAATAACCTCACAAAACCGTTAGATGACAGGAAAAAGATGAGCGTCGAACCGCGGAATGTATTGGTAGGTTATTGTGATGTTATTGAGATGCTATTGGGGATAAGTCACAATAACCTAAGAATTGCGTGTGTAAGACGTATGCAAATAGCGTTCCCATGGCGGGGCTGTATCTCTTGGACACCCCCTGGGGTACAGTGGAGCTCGCATTCTTGTTACATTTATTAGGGGCTCTCGGATATAGAAATGGGAAATATGGAGCTGTTGGGGTTTGCAATGGTGGTGGGGGAGCAGCTGCTCTTGTATTAGAGCTCATGTATGGAATTCTGAACTTTTGGTGATGATGTGGCGAGATTTAGATATATTAATTGATGTGGTATATCTATAAATCAATCAGGAATACGATTGACGAAGTGAAAAATAGAACGAGAAAAATCACACTAGAAAAGAACACACAAATTTACGTAATTCAGGATTTTATAATTTTTTTTGCAGGAAGAGAGTTGCAAAAGATTTTACTACTTGAAAAATTTACAACGTCGATCACCTCGACTTACAAGAGGAATCTCTCACTCTCACTTCATTGCTCTCTCTTCTTTTCTCTCTCTCTTCTTCTCTCTCTGTTCTTCTCTCTCTACACCGAGATATACCGAAGAAGCTCTACACCGAGATATACCGAAGAAGACAAACTTACAAATGAAATAAACTCAATTTCTCTTCTGCCACAAGCCACCAAGAAGAAGCCTTGGGAGAACAATTTTCTTCTTCTTCCTTCTGCCACAAGAAACTACCGCTTGCACTTCTCTTCCTCTGCCCGGAGGAAACCTTCCTCTATTCTGAGGAAATCAACGAAAAACTCAAAATGTGACTTCTAAACCCAAGAAGAGTCATCCGAAGGAGTCATCCGAAGCTTTTATCACGCGAACAAGAAGGAACGAAGGGATGCTTCGCTTCGCAACAGGAAGAAACGAATCGACGCCAGGCGAGACATCGCGATGATTCGTGATCGATCGAAGGCGGGAGCGAATGCAATTTTCTCGATCGGGAGGCGGGAGCCGGAAATCAGATCGGGCTCCACCTCTAATAAGTGAGGCTTTCTTTCCTGTCTCAATCTCCCTTACAAAATAAGGTTTAATTAAACCACCAGTGTTAGGTGACTTTGAAGTGTCATTTAATCTCAATGGCAACATCTTCGACCTGTTTTCAAAAAAAAAAAAAAGAATATTATTTCTAAAATAATTAACTAAAATTATAGCTACTTAATTTAAATTTTGTTTATCCAATCACTTTTGAATCATATGCTCTTGCTAATTCTAATCATTTATTCTACTCATAAAAAGTTAGTATCAACCTCATGATATTTAATTAAAACTGTGTATATACATAAAACAATATAAATATTTACCTCCACTTTATATTTTTCTCTATTGCACAAACATAAATCTTTATCCATATATAATATATATATGTATATGTATATATATATATATATATTATTTTATTTTATTTTTTCTGGGCAACCTGAGGTTAATTAACATAAACTCGTACCCCCTAAATGCAAAATAATTATATATATAATTTCACGTCTGTTTCTTTCTTTTTTTTTACACTAGTAGTTTTTTGGTCTACAAAATCATTCAGTCTATTCCTTTATTATTATTATTATTATTATTATTTTGATACAATCATTACAAATTAAATATATTAATATTGATAAGTTAGATTTTAAAAAAAATTAGGGAAATTTACATGCATAGAACTTTGATGTTTTAAGAACACTCATGAAAATGTGTTTCTATTTTGAAAAGTGATAACAAGCCTATTTTTTGATGTAGTTCAAAGATTTAAGTGTTGTAAATATCAAAGATTAGTTGTGGGATATGTAAATACATAAGAAGTGTGTGCCATGTTTGTAAATGACTGTTAAATTTTTAAAGGGGAATTTACATGACCACATTATTTTTATGTATTTGAATGTTTAATCTTGAAATTTGATATTTATTTATGTAATGTTGTAATGCTATAATTGTTAAAAAATATGTTTTATTTTAAGAAATTAATATTAGTAATATTTTAGATGTGATATCAAACTTTATATATATATATATATATATATATATATGTATATATATATATAAGGATATAAAAATTTGTTAGAAAATGTTATCTTTTTGTTATTTTCTGATTAATACAAATATTCTTATTTAAAATTTTCAATCATTTTATTATGACAATTGTTAGAACTAAAGAACTAACATTCTCTATTCTTAATAAATTAGGAGGCTATTCCGCATAAATCATGAATTTAAATTACATATTTTTTTAATTAAAAAATAATTGTGCTTAGTCAAGGTTAACATAGTTCAGGCAATATACTCTCCAATCCCATTTTTTCTTAATCATATGTTAGGTATGACTCATATACCAGAAATTTAAATGTTCGGTATGACTCATATACCAGGAATTTAGAGTCTCTTGAATTTGGAGAGATGTATCTCTTGTCATGAAGAGGCGTGTCTCTTGGTGTGAAGAGGTGTGTCTCTTAGATTAGTGGGTTAAGGGGAGCGAGGGCGTGTTTGTGTAATTATTTGTGGGTTTTATCTATAAATAGATGTGTAACTCTATGGGTATATAACTCCTCTGAAATAGTGAATTCGCCGCTCCGATCCCGAGGATGAAGGCATCTTTGCTGAATCTCGTTAAATCTCGATGTTCTTCTGATTTTGTGTCAATTTCTATTTTTCTTCGTCCTAAATTTCATAACATCATCAACCTCTAAGTTGAACTGTACTACATTTTTTTTTTATTTTTTAGTGATGAAAAAGGTTCCTTTATTTACAAAACTAACACTAAAATTTAAAAATGAACCATTAAATGTAGTTATTTTAAATGTCAAAATCTAAACACGGAGAACTTAATAATAACAAAATTTTGGCTTGAAAATTTATCATGTTTTTCAAATTTTGGATATTATAGATGGAGATAGCCAAATAAATATTAATTTTATAAACAAACAAAATTAAAATATCCATGCAATTGTCCTTTTACAATTGATGTGTACTATAAGATTTGTGGCGATAGAATGATTACTTAACATCTTAGCATTACACAAAAGTACATCTCACAAATAAGTAATTGAAGTGACAAATAGAAACACTATAAGTTTTTGAATATAAAATCCAAAATGAAAAAAAAAAATCATTGTGTCTAGCCTAATTAAAATATTCCACTATAAGTTAGTGAACACACGCACATGTCATTGTCCCATAGGCAGAGAAGGGTTCCATGATTACTCAAAAGTACAAAAAAAAAAAAAACCCCGGAGCTAAAAAAATGCTCCTAGATTCATGTTATCCGCCTTCAGATTCATGTCAAATGATAATTTATTGATGACATATCAATAATAAATAAAGCATCATTATATTTGTGTTCAGTATTGACCAAATTGTATCCAAATTTCAGTCAATACCTTAAAATCAACCAAAACAAAACATACCTAATTTCAAGAAAACTAGGGAACAAACTTTTTTTTTTTAATGATCATTGATTTGCATAGACTTAGAGAACCTTTGTTCAACTGATGGGGGGCTTTCCTCAACATATTCTCTATATGAACTAAGAAGTGCCCAAAAACAATCAATGCTGCAAACTACCAAAAAAAAAAAAAAAAATGCGCCAACAAAATGCATAACACAACGATCGAATTCAGCACCTTAAGTTAAGATGCCCACATCTCACTCCATACAAATTAAGCTCATTAAGTTAAGCCTCATCATCAGGCAGCTGGCTGACGACCGAATGCTCCGGTTTGTGATCACATTCGAAGTCGAGATGCACAAATGCTCGCTCTACTTCTGGCAGCTCCTCAATCTTCATCTGCAGGCTTTCTCCTATGGCGTGTGCTTCTTTCAATGGCAGTTCTTCAGCCAGTTCAATATCAATCTTCATACATGAATCCAATAACAAAAAAATTATGAGAAGATTTACAATAATTTACATATTAGCAGTTAACCAATCATTCATCAAACTGATCATATAAAGTAAAAAAAGGTGAAATTTTGGGTTGCTTAATTCAGTAAGGTGTAATGTCTAAACTTTCATTTTTACATACATGACACTGAAAATCATTAACATCACATAAAAGTAACACCAGTACCACTTTTTAAAAGTGAAATACACCTTTTCATTTGTAGATTTAAAGCACCAGAGTGTTATGCATGTAAGAATGAAGATTTAGGTGTGAGATATGTAAAGACATAATAATTGTAAATGGACCCAATCTCACATATAAGGATAGTAAAGGACGACGAGCTATATAAAAAAAAGAAAGATCATAATTAAGTAAGAGATCTTTTGGTGTAATGGGAGAATTTCATGGAGACCTCGACATTTAAGAATATGTGTAATGGAGCATTTTTGGGATTGGTGATTTAGTAGGAAGTTAAAAGAAAAGAGATGAAACTGTGTAGTTAAGTTAGGAATAAACTTGGGCTAAGTCAAAGCAGAGAATATGTTACAGAAAATTGTCTGTGGCATTACACATAATTGTGAGAAACTCCTAACCTGCAGTCCTCGGGCTCGTTAATTTTGTTACTTCCATTGATCTATTTCTTAAAGAATGTTTACTATAAAGAAAGATTTACATACATACCACTCAATTTCATTCTATTAACATATTTAACACCTTGACTTTAATTTTTACAGATATGTTATCTTACCCATGAATGAAAGGTGGTTTACATACCACTAATTTTTACACATATGTAATCTACATTCACATTGGGGCATTTACATACATACCAGCCAATTTTAAAATTTAGATTGTTAAATTATGTAAATAGATTAAAATTGGCTGGTGTGTATGCCCCTATAATAAAAGCCACAATGTATGATGGCAATCTGCTTTTATGATCAGAAGTTCCAATCTATGGTGAAAAGTAAAGAATTAGGCGGACAATGTGAAACAGATATGTCAACTAACCTCCACAAAGTAGAGAACTCCAAATGTGTAAGCTCGAACTGTGTCAACTCTCTTAATTTGAGGATCATGTCTAATCACAAGATATGTCAACTTCTGCAGCATTTCAGGTGGAGCTGTTTGACCCACTAGGGAAGCTGCACCAGAAACCACCAACAAGAAATGAAAAAATTTTATCGCTTACGATAAACTTTACACCCCTTTCTTCTTAAAAAAGGCTAGTCAAATTCTGCGTTTGGGGAAACACTGGGAAAAGCAACGCCATTTTCGAGCATTTTTTTTGCTCAAAAGCAAATTGTTTGCTTTGTGAGCATTGAGGAGAAATGAAAAACTTTCAAAATGAGAAATTTGTTAAAATGGTCCCCTAACTATTTGCACGGGGTCTTTTTAGTCTATTAAAGTGTCAATTTAGTCTCATACTCTTTTACTTGGATCTAAACTTCGCCTTCATGGGAACAAATTTCAACCAAAAGCAAAAAAAAGCATGGGATTAATTTGGTACTTTTATAGACTCTGGGACTACAATGACCTTTTATAAATAGTTGGGGAGCATTCTGAATATTGGAGGAAGGGCAATACAGGGCTAAAATATTGCTAGAGGTAAAACATATACTTGAAGAAGTAGAAGGGATATATCAGAAATAGCTATACAAAAATGGATTCTTATGGAATAAAAAATTCAAAACCAAGGAGGCGACCAACAAAGAACCTGCATTTTCCATTACTGTTCCACACCAATTATAAATTGTGTAAATTGCAAGAATGATGGCGCCAATAGGATCAACCCACCAGAAGAACTTATCACCAAGAACAGCAGCAACTAGGCCAACAACATTGGTTATAACATCAAAGTAATGGTCCTGAATTTCACAAATAGTAGTGAGTTCTTAGGACGAATCAATCTATGTTAAAACTGGGAAATTTTTAATTCTGAATGAAAAAGAAAAACACCTTGGCATAGGCCCTAACAATTTTGTTTCCTGATGTTCTGCAATAAAGCCAGAGAGCAATTTTTACAAGAGTGGCAAACAACATTACTCCATACAACCACAAAAGCTGCTCGGAAGTAAACTTGTCTGGAGGATTATTCGCTATCAGTTTCTCAAGTGCCTGAATTAAAACTTGAAACCCTGAAAGTAATAGAAGAAGACACTAAATTCTTAATATTTCACAAAAGAACATAATAAAGTAATAAATTTCATACAGGAAAGAAGATGAATTACCTAAAGTAGCCATGACAGCAGCAAATACAACTATACCCACTGGTTGCATCCGCAATTTTCCAATGGGGTATTGATAAATGTTCACTTTCTTCATTGACAAATGTGTAAACCATAGAATTCCTCCTGCGATGAGATCTAACAAAGAGTCAAGTGTTGATGCAGCGATGGCGATGGATCCACTTCTTATAGTAGCGTAAATCTGAAAAAGATGTAGTTTTTAACTTTTGCAAAAGCTTGCAATCGAGACAGAAGACAAGAAATCAGATAACTGGGAGAATGAATACCTTTAATAACAAGAGAACAAAGTTTGCATAGTTGGAAATTTTTATAGCCAATTCACTCCGACTTTGATTTGAATTTTCTGGATCCTCATGATCACTGTCACTGTTAGCCGACACATGCAAGGTGTCAACCTCTTCAAATGATTTGAGAGTAGCCAATTGCTTTTCATAGTACTCCTTTTCACCTGTATTAAAGGGAATAAAATAGTACTAAACATTTCTAATAATTCAAAGCATTTATAACATAGAGTTGCAGGTTTACCAGTAGCTGAATTGGTTCAGATGCATGACAGCCACAAAACAAACCAATATAGGATTCATCCATTCAATTTTATATACAATATACTCTTTAATATCCATATAAATATTTCAAAGCAAGTCAAAAAGACCTCTCTTTATTCTTTTCAATCTATTTATTATTATGTTTAATTTTAATTTATTGCTTATCTTTCTAAATTTATATAAAAATCAATTTAAAACGTAAACCAATTAATAAAAAAGATAATCTTAATTTTTTTATTTCTTTTTCTAAAATTGCTATTTTATTTGAAACCATAGAACAGATTATTAGTTATATTTCAAAATTAGTCTTGAAAAGTGAATAAATTAGATAGAGCTAATCTGCATTCGAATAGAACCAATCTTAACCTGGATTTGGCCAATCTTATAATTAAATCAAACGGCTTCAAGTTCAAGCTGATTTTAAGACAAGGCTGAATGTGGAAGATAATGTATTATTAACAACCCAATGAAAGACATCTTAAGAAAATAATTGGGGTTGCAAATGAACTAAGCTGGGCCGAGCAGGTGTCTGTTCAAGCTCAAGCTTGATTCGAGCTTTCGATATTATATTCAAGCTCGAGTTCTTTATAAATACCATGTTTGAGCTCGGCCGAGCTTGATTCGAGCTCGGTTATCGAGGACTAGACTCATCTGACTCATTTGAAACCCTAGAAAGAATGAAAGGATATTAGTATTATTCATAAACGATACCTAGTCTTTATTTCTTATTCCCCCATGCACCTCACAAGTATTGAGAAAATGTCCTCTTGAAACTTGCACAGAGAGAGAGAGAGAGAGAGAGAGAGAGAGAGCCCCCGCCCCCCCACACACAGCGAAAGAGAGAGAGAGGGAGAGAGAGAGAGAGAGAGAGAGAGAGAGAGAGAGAGAGAGACCTGCACTTAAACTTTTGGTTTTTGATATGTCGATTCGAGAAGGGTCCTCAGCATCGACGGCCGATTGAATCTTAGCAGGAAGCCTCGAGAGAAAATCTCTTTTCAAGAAACGCACCGAGTTTTTTCGCCTCACTGGAGTCGAAGATGGCGCCGCGACTCCATGCAGCAGCGGCGCACGCACATCCTCCCCTGTTCCACCTCCATCCATCTCCTCCCAGGCCACACCTCACACACATTCTACTCTTTCGTAAAGTACCGAAGAACGCGTGGAAGCCACAGGCAAGAGCTCGCCCTGTTTTCACCACGTGTCTTGTAACTACTATATAAAAATTGAATCAACAAGGATGCTTTTAGTGCAGGTTCTTGTTTTATTTGCAGTAAGGTAGTTATTTTTAAATTATTAAAAATTACAGCGTTTTCATTTAAATAAGATTAAATAATTAAAATTATTTATTATTTTTCCACACAAAAAAGAAAAATTATAATGGATCGATTACACCTCGATAATTATGGATGTAAGTCGGGATTTTCACTCATTTAGTTGATGTTTTGTTTTGTTGAAAAATGATTATCTAAGTATAGTAAATATAGAATGTTTTAAAACTTTGTTGGTTGAATACAAAATGAAATATAAAATATATTGTTGATGTATTCGACAATCATCATTTAATTCATTTTTAGTGGTTGTTTTGCTCTCTACATTTCTTTTGTGAAGATTGAATGAAAATAGGATTCACCATGCAGTTCAAAATTGGTGTATTTCGAATTCGTTAGATTTTGACAACTCTAAAATACACGGTAAACTACAGCTAATCGTCACCACCACCACCGACAACTATCCACGGCCATCGTCTGTTGCCTGCCTTTGTCCTTCCAGCACACACCATTAGCCGCCTGCTGGCACTCACAACTACAACTTAACATCGTCTGTTGTTGCCCACCACCTCCTACAATGAGAATGCACCTCACCATTCATCTACACGTCGTCACTGCTAGCACCCTCATCCTCTTACATTGAATTCACTTTTTTAAACCAAATAAAAAATGTAAACTCAACTATTTATTTTTATGCCTAATCAAATAGCTTCAATTTATTTTAAATACAACAAATATTTCAATTATAAAGTAATTCTCATACATACATTTCTTCTTCAACAAATCAAACAATCCTTTAATATTTATGTGAAGCTTCAAGCATGGCTCCCATTTGCTTGTCATCCGCTATCGTGGTCAGAGCCTATCAATAGTCTTTCCCTCCAAATCCTTCACCGATCTCCTACCATCAACCACTGCTCCAGCGCTGACTTTTAGATTTAAATCTTCGTACAATGCAAGAATAATATTTAATCCGTTGTAAAATCAAATATTCTTGAGCTCGAATTTAAGGCAAGCCAACCCAGTCCAAAAATTAGAAAATGGTCGGTTGAACGGTGCAAATGCAAGCGACTTATAAAAAGGCATTAGAAACAAGTTGCCAGTCTTTATCACAATTTCTATTAGAAGTGGAGCCCGGTCCGACCCCCGCTTCTACTCACCTGATCGCGAAACATCGCGATCTCCCGCTCTCGTTTGTGAAGAGTCACGCCTCCCGCCTCTTCAATCGCGCGACAACCGCCACCGTCTTCCTACGTTGTAAAGCGTAGCATTCCTTCGCTCCCACATGTTCGTGATAAAAGTCTTCGGACAGCTCTCCTTCAGTTTTAGAAAGTCGCATTTTGAGTTCTTCGAGCTTTCTCTCAGGATAGAGGAAGAGTCCTTCGCGCTTCTACGAGACAGTGGAAGAGAAGTGCAATGAGGAGTAGTTCCTTGCGGTAGAGGAAGAAGAAGAAGATTGTTCTCTCTTGACTTCTTCTTGGTGACTTGTGGCAGAAGAGGAATTAGATTTATTTCTCTTGTAAGTTTGTCTTCTTCGGTGTATCTCGGTATAGAGAGAGAAGAAAAGAGAGAGCAACAAAGTGAGAGTGAGAGATTCCTCTTATAAGTCAAGACGATCGACTAGTGTAAATTTCTCAAGTAGTAAAATCCTCTACAACTCCGTGGACGTATGCAATTTGACGAACCACGTAAATCTGTGTGCTCTTTTCTGGTGTGATTTTTCTCATTCTATTTTTCGTCTCATCGATCATTTTTCTGTTTGATTTATATATATACCACATCAACTGGTGTATATCCTACATCTTAGTTCACAACAATCTCTACTATGATTTAGATATCACTACAAATAGATTTGAAACTAGCTCATATTTTCATAAAATCTACTTTGATAACGATGCATTTTATTTTGATGAATTATATCACTATAAATGTATCAAGAAACTTTTTGTTTCGCCTTTTATAACAATTAGTTTATTAGTTATATGAAAATATCTTAATATTTAGTCATCTATCATAAATTTGTTTGCTAAGTAGGAGTGTGAGTCATACCAACTCATGAGCCGGCTCAAGCTCGGCTCGATAAGTGGCTCATGAACTGAGCTCGATGAGCTAAGAAGCAAAACTCAATCTAACATTGACTCGACTCGTTAGATTTTGAGTCGGTTTGTTTTAAAAAATATTAATATAAGTATACTCAAAATATATGAAATTTGAAAGTTCTATCTTTAAAATACTAAAAGTATTTTAAAAATAATATTTTATATTTTATATTAAGTGATTTCTTATTATTTCTCTCCTAATCGTCCATTCTATGTCATTTTATTATAACACAATCTTAAAGCAATATTATATTCTCTCTTTTGTAATAAATAAGCCGGCTCGAACTTACAGACTTATCCCTGAGCTCCAATTCGATAAAATTAATCAAACTCAAGCTCACATCGAGGTGGCTCGAACCCGACTCGACTCATTTACACCCCTAATTGCAAGTATCTTCATTATATCTACAAATCACATAAGTTCATGTTGAAAGGGTATTATATTAAATTTTCTTCATAAGCTTGAATAATTATGTTGAAATGCCTTAAAACTAATGATATTCTTCATTCAAAAAGAATTAGTTAATATAAAATGTATTTTTTCTCTAAAGAAAATGAAACTCATAGTCATCACTTCCTTAAGTGCAATTTTACTCATTTTATTCTATGAAAGTGTACTCCACATGATCATCTCTTTCTCATGAGCAAGAACTTGTTTCAAGTAATATTTTATGCTAATGATATTTCTTCCAAGATCATTAGAAGATATTTTTTGTAGGCAGTTCATATCATTACTCATTTTATTTCGAAAGAAATAAATTCTAGACATATTCTAGAGTTTTTCCTCTTTTACCATTTTTCTTATTCAAAATATTCATGAGAATATTATCTTTAAAAGTAGATAGAAGTTTAAGGAGATGCTTCCTCTCATTATTGAAGATTTACACAAATTTTGAGGGCTTCCTACTCTTATTAATCTCTATTGGTGATTAAGTTGTTTTGTTATGGCATTTCTTTATTATTCCTTTTAGCTCATCTTGCTTACAATTTTTTCATCTTTTGGTTTTATTTACATTTTATAGCATTTTGTTGGGTCTCCTGAATGGTGTTAATTGAATTACTAAGATTTTCCCAAATGGTGATTTTTTTAGCAATGACATGCTCTTTGCTCTTCTTAATTGTTGAATCATTATCATGTATTTTAGATGCACTTTGCTTTATCATATCTTATCACTTGGTTTGGGCTCAAAATTTATTGGTTGATTCTGGATTGGATTTTAATTCTTTTGTTAGCAATTGGCTTGACGGTTAGCTATTTCTTTTTTAGTTGAGCAGTAGAGATGATCTTTTTTAGCTTATGTGTATCCATTTGGATTTCCTGTAGGGAACAAATTGAATTGCTAAGGAGTTTTACCTACCCGTGCTCTCCATTTTAAATTGCCTGACAATTTTTATTTAATTTGAGACGATCTTTGTATGCAATTTGTTTGAATTGGTTGCCAATGTATTTGATTATATTTTGGATTGGCAGGAGGATTTTTTATTTGCTCAATTAAGTTTGCAATTCTTCAAGCTTTAGTTTGATTTATAGATTTCTTAATTTGGATTCTTACATGATGATGGTTAACTAGTTTATTAGATTTTTCTTATTTATATTGGTTATTGTGATTGGGAGCCCAAGTATAACTACTGATTGAGTTTCCTAGAAGTTTCTTTTTTTATATGATATTCATGATTTTTCTGATATCTTCAGTTGCCTTAACTCTCTCTGTTCAGCTTGAAGCTTGTTTTTTCAGATATCAAGCTCCTTTTGATGATATGCCAATTGATGGTTTTTTTTAAAGCTAATTAAATTAGAGTTACAATAGTGATTGTAATCTGAGTTCTTTATGAATAATGTTGGGTGTGGCCTTTATTTTCCCTTAGAGAGAGAGAGAGTGTGTGTGTGTGTGATTGACATAATCAATATTCAATCTTAATATTTAAATTACCCTATTTTGTACGTTCAAATCCACCTTATGGCATAAAATACTTGGCCATATAACAAAAAAAAATAATAATAAATAAAATTATCCTATTATATTCCAGAGATGGCAATATGAAAATAGTACGAAGGATCAGTCTACTTATCACCTACGACAATAATTAATTTGACTTAGATCTGATTACCCAAAAATACTCTCTTTTGGCTAAAATGATCTTAATGAACCTGATTCAAACTAGCATCTATACGTTTTCCCTAATTTAGATTAGATAGCTTAGTCACCATTGTCTAATTTACATGTCTCTTGTTGCTGTTTAACTTTTTAATTTTTAATTTTTTATTTTAATATTTCCATTTCTTTTGTTTTGCCAAGCCAATATTTGGGGTCTGATCTGCCTCAAGGACTACCATTGGTAAAATGGCCTTAGTAATGTTGCCTTCAGAAAAAGGCATGTATTTCAATTTTTAAAAATTAATATTAATGATGTTTTTACATGATATTAAAAATTTTAATGTTATATAAATAAATATAGAAATTCAGATGTTAGATATGTAAATATTTATGAATTGTGTTATATGTATGTAAATCCTTCAAGTAGCCCTAATCAATGTGTTCTTTTAGCGGCATTTAAATGCATACCACAGTTCTTTCATATAATTATATCGAATACTTGTTTTTTTTTTCTTAAAATAATATCACCACATCAAATCATAACTAATACCAAAAAATAAAGTTCCGATGCTAAAAGCATGTCAATATATAGAAATTAGGCTGACATGTATGTAAATGCCCGTTTTTCTAATCCTATATTATAGTTTATTATTATTATTATTTTTTAAGGAAACGGTATTCGAGGCCGGTAAGCCCCCAAATACAGCTTCCCCTTTGCGCTCAGGCACCTATGGT